ACACAAAGTATTTGGGAGTCAGAAATTTTGTTGAAAGCAGCAAGATAAAGATTAACCTAGCGGGATCGTAACACGAAGGACCAGGCTTCAACACATGCTTCAACCTCGATCTTAGATTGGGTTTGATTTAACCAAATATAAAATGGAGCGAACCTGACTTTTCAACATGAGTTTCAACCTTGATCTTGGATCGAGTTCAATTTAACCGAAGATAAGATAGAGCGAACCTGGCTTCAACATAGGTTTCAACCTCAATCTTTGATCGGATTCGATTTAACCGAATATAAGATGGAGCGGTGACACGACCTGTCCCAAAACACCTACTAGTCTTAGAACGAGTCGCGCCAACCACAAACTCCGACTAACTCCGAAGTCAATGGTCAACTTCTTCTTATCTTTGACCTGAACTTTGACTAACAAATTTTAAATGGATGCATATTAAAATAACAATCTTTACAGAACAACCAATTATACATCCATTCTATACATTATTTTCTATCAACAGGGCGATTACAACTTTACAACAACTACATGTACATACAAAGTGATATGCAAATTCTTGAACTATCCTGGGTGGCAGAAGCTAAACTACATTCTTCTTGAAACTCAGAAACTCAGATACTCAGGTACAGCTTGGGGGAAAAACAAAACATAAATAGTGAGCTGGGAAGCTCAGTGAGTGGTAAGTTAATAAGAAAATAAATTCGTCAACTTTCTATCATAAACAACTGAAATTCAGTTCTCAAGCAAACTTCATAAAACTGAAGTAACAAATATTCTCATTTAAATTTCATTAAACTCGAGTAAAACTGGAGCAACATTATACATTTCATAAAACTCAATAAACTTCTCCTAGTCAAACTTGTAACAACAATTTTCTTTCTATGCAAACTGAAAAGACAATGCTCCCAAGTCCAGGATTCGAAATCCGGATTTGGCCCTAATCGCCCCGACATTCCCCTGAGACCTAGTTACGCCAACTTCCCAACCTGCTATAAAACACATTCTAAAACATATAAAACATTCTTCTTTTAAACATCAAACAGATAGATAAAACTGAACACCACACATGTATCCATATTCTATTATGATCTACTGGCGTAAAGTAATCTCAATACACACAGCAGAATAATTCTGGTCTACTAGCATAGAGTAATCTCAATACGCATAACAGAATAATTCTCTCAACGCGTGGAGTCAAATGGTCCCAAAGACCTTCTATTTTTAGGTATACTATAGAAACACATTCACATAGCATACGAGTAATCACGTGAATACAATAACATGGTAGTTTGAAAACTATTCTCAATCTCATAAACTAAACTAAAATTATTTTCTTCTTCTTTCTGAGAACTTTTTTAACTTTCTCAAATCATTTCTAAAATCTTTATTTCTAAGAACATTTCATGAAATTCTAATATCATTTTCTGAAATCTCTTTTTAAATACGCTTCATAAACTTTAAACATTTCTTTAAAATCATAAAGCATTTATAAATTCTCATAAACATTTCTAAATTCTTGAACAAACATATTTTCTTTCCTTCTCAGCAGAAATGCTAAATCATACTAATATATATAATTTCTCAGAAATTCTATAATAAATATCCAAAAACATTTAATAAAATAACCACTCACAGATCCTTTAAACTCGGTCGTACGCTGTTCCAATTTCCGCTTGACCTAAAATATCAATTCAATACCAAATTATTTCTCTTAATTCCAACATAAACTAATTCCAATTTAAATCACATTATTTTCAAATTATCCCATAAATGCAATTTTGTAATCCATTCTCTCTCTTCGTTAAAACCATCACTTATTCTCTCTCTTCTCTCTTACATGTGGGACCACATCCCACAATCAATTTCCCTTTCTACACCAATTTCTCACGTGAATAGCCCAATTTTCCAACTTTTTTTTTCTTTTTTTTTTAAATTTATTTTAACACACTCATTTCTCTCTAATCCACTATTCATCATCTTCTTCTTCTTTTCCTTCTCTCTTCTCCAACCTTACGAGTTCTTCTTCTTTTCCTCCTCAGTACCTCTCTGTTTTCTTTTTTTTTTTATCACCAAGAACCATTTTCCTCCAATTTCTTTACCATTTACAACCATTAACGCATTCCAGGAAAATCTCAAGCAAGCATACTCATCTTCCTTCTATCTAATTACCAAACAATATCTTGTTTAACCTCCTAAACTCATCAACAAAACTTACCTTATCTGTAAAATCAATTAAGGGAACGAAAATCTATTTTCTTTAACTCTTTCATGTGAGTTCTTGAACATAACACACACAACCACAAAATTTCCCTTCAATTTCTACTCATTTTCAAATATTCCAAAGAACAAATTTCCTTACCAAGCTTTGCTGTCATCCATAGTTAAGGTTCTCAAGTTCGGCTTCAAAAATACCAATCTTCTTCTTCCCAGTTTTTTTTTTTTCAGATATCCTTGCGATCGGGTCTCACCCTCTTCTCTGTTTTCTTCAAACCCTCTTTCGTTTTCTCTATCTCTTCTTTTCCTTTCTATTATTTTTTTCTCGTTCTTTCTTCTTTTCTTTTCTTTTCTTTTCTTTCTTTTCTTTCCATTTCTTTCTTTTCTTCTCTTTCACTATTAAACACATGTCACACACGTGTCACCTCCAATTTTATTTTCTGTTTCTTTTTTTCCCTAATAAAAGCCAAATAACCAATCTACCCTCTGAACTTTTAACTTAAAAAAAATTCCAATTTTCTCTTTCTTTTTTTTTTTCTTATATTCTTCTTTTTACATAAAAGGAAAACAAATAGTCCTTACAAGCGGACTTGACTTCGACATAGGCTTCAACCTCGATCTTGGATCGGGATCGATTTAACCAAAGATACGATGAAGCAGACCTGACTTCAACACAGGCTTCGACCTCAATCTTGAATCAGGTTCTATTTAACCAAAGATAAGATGGAGCGGACTTAGCTTCAACACAGACTTCAACCTCGATCTTGGATCGGGTTTGATTTAACCAAAGATAAAATGGAGCGGACTTGACTTTAACAAAGGCATCGACCTCAATCTTGGATCGGGTTTGATTTAATCGAAGATAAGATGGAGGGACTGATAACTCTCCATGAGACAATGTTTTCTAGCCTAAATAGGGTGATATATGTGCGAAAATGTGTGATCCTTGTTATAATATCATGGAAAGGAGTAGAAATAATCTAGCTAGGGCCTTGAGCTGTTAGAATTCTCAATTTCCTCAATTTGAATGAATTATGCTTAATTTTTGATGTTTTGAATAGGAATTGTAGACTATGTAGAGGACAAGCTAAGGGGATTGCTGGAGTGTGGCTACAAGAGCGTCTATGCTGCAAATTAAGGCCATACGGATGCCCTAACACCTATGACTGCACAGTAACTCATCATATAAGTTTTTAACCACGTCCGTACAGCTTCCGGGAGTTGCCCTAGTTTTAAGGGCCAGATATATAAGGAAAATATACCCTATTCGCAAAAGTGGGAGCCAAAACAAATATTCAAAAAGAGAACATTGATTTTATAGAACATTTCACATGTTGTCATCGTCTTTCATCGAAGAAGGAGCTGAAGAAGTGGTCGATTTCCTTCGCGTCACCATTTTGCTGCTAAAGAGATCCCCATTTTCCTACTGTCTACTTCACCGATGGAGCCCATTTCTCTTTTACCCATCGTTTTCTTCTCTTTCATTATGAACTAAAGTCCACCTTCGGGAGGAATGAGCTTATTTTAGCTTTTTGTTGATTGTGCTTAACATTGACTACTGTTTTAATAGAAGTGTTTTTATTCTTTCATCTCACTGTGTTGTTTGGCCAACAATATTAGTATGTTAGCTTACTTGATGCTCGGAAGAGTCCTTGTTTAGCGTGTGATTGCTTCTATTAGCTATAGATTCCTCTCTTTAAAGTAGGATGGTGAGTACTCAGGGATGAGACTCACCCTATTGTGCCTATAAACTGCTTTTATTGCTTCCTTTCCTTACAACAGGAGCTGGGTTTAAACATGTTTGGATATCTCGGGAGAGAACCACATAGGTTTGGATATTCAGTATTCTGGGTCTGCTAGAGCATAATTAGGAAAGGGTGAAAACATCTGAGTGAATCTCCCTCAATTTATATTACAATTGTTTCTTCTTCGCAATTTGTTTGTTCTCTGTATTGGATGCTTCAGCATTGTATCAAATATCTCTGAAAATGTTTTCTTCTAATGTTTACAATTTATTTCCATCGCATTCACAATACTTTAATCAAACTTGTGTTATTTTTACCCTTTGGTATTCTGAATTGTTAAGTCAAATTATAGCAACAATCTCTGTGGAAACGACCTTTTTTTGTACTACAATCGATTATTTAGTGTATACTTACACAATTTTTCTCTTAGTAATGAGGAAGTAAACAAGTTTTTGGTGCCGTTGTCGAGGATTGAGCATTCATATTTTGATTTTAGCATTTTGTAATACGGTTCCTAACGAGTTCTCTTACCTTTCTTTTGATTGATTTGTGCAGTGAATAAACGATTTCCCTATGTTTGAATTCTAGTTTGACCCAGAAATTGAGCGTACCTTTAGAAGAAGATGGGATGAACAGAGAGCACATAATAGAGAAAGGGATGAAATGAATCCGAACGCACCAAATTCGCCTGAACTGGAAGTAGAGAGGATATCAGGGGTTGGAGTTGGCAAAGCTGCACTAGTACCTCCTCTGAATGTTGTTATGCTCGCAGATGATATTGAGTAGGAAATTAGAGTTTATGCGGCCCCAGCTTTCTACGACTGTAACCCAGTGATTGCAGATCCTATCATTGAAGCAGATAGATTCGAGTTGAAGTCTGCAATGTTTCAGATGCTCTAGCTTGTCCGAAAGCGAGTGGGATGTACAAGTATTACAATGAATAGGGAATACAACATACCCAAAAACATCTCCCACTTGCCCTAGACTAAATGGCACATATCGCGTAGACGTAGACTCTCTAAATGACCTTCAAACATTTTAGCTGTGAGAGCTTTTGTCAACGAATCAGCAATATTGTGCTCTGAAGCAATCTTCGTGACAATCACATCTCTTTGTTGTACAATCTCCCTTATCAGGTGATAGCTCCTCTCTATGTGCTTGCCTCTCTTATGGCTTCGAGATTCCTTTGAATTTGCCACTACACCACTATTATCATAATAGAGTGTAATGGGCAGGACATGCTTGAAACGACTTCTAAGTCCACGAGGAACTTTCTAAGCCAGACAACTTCTTTAGCAGCTTCGCAAGCAGCTACTTACTCAGCTTCCATTGTGGAGTCCGCAATGCACGCTTGCTTAACACTCCGCCAAACTACAACCCCTCCATTGAGAGTGAACATTGATCTAGACCTGGATTTCCTGAGTCCTTGTCAGTCTTAAAATCAAAGTCAATGTATCCTGTAAGGATCAAATCATTGGCACTTTAACAAGCATGTAGTCCCCTGTTTTTCGAAGATACTTAAGGATTGTTTTGACTGCAGCCTAGTGACCGAGCCTTGGATTTGACCGATATTAACCGAAAATCCCAACTGCATAGCATATGTCAAGCCTAGTACACAACATGATATACATAAAGCTGCCTACAACTGAAGTATAGGGAATACGTCTCATATCCTCAACTTCTTAAGATGTCTTAGGATATTGTTCCTTAAACAAAGCAACTCCATGATTGAAAGGTAAAGCTCATTCTTGAAGTTTTGCATCGAATATCTTACTAGTATTTTGTCAATATACGATGTCTTAGACAATGCTAGAATTTTGTTCTTGTGATTCTTGAAAATTTGAATCCCAGGAATAAACTAAGACAGAACCTTCCTAAGATAGGGTGAAACCCCGGCTTTCAAAACACTGGTTTTAGACAGAACCTTCCTAAGACAGGGTTCCCTTATAGACAATATTTATAATTAAGTTTTTTTAAAAGAAAAACTCTAATCTTATTAGGAAAAAAAAAACTTAACGTAGAGCTTAATTAATTGATTTAAAACCCCTTTCAAAATAAATTAATTAATCCTATGCATGCTACTAAGTTTTACTAAACATATATATATAATAATTATATATACATAATTAAAACTTGTAGGCATGCATCAAATGAAATTCAGAAATATAACAATTATATTTACTAAAGAAATGTCATGCTCAATGCAACTCATTTTCATATTAATTAATATAACCACTATCTTAACTACAAGAAAATAAATCATGCTTTAAGTAATATAGCACTTATATAAATAAAAAATGCATGATTATGCTTTAACCTATGGTGTTATTTTTAATCTATATGACATACTTTTATGCAACATACATTTAATTAAATCATATATTCATACTACATAATAATTAAATAGAAAAATTGGACCGAATTTTGGCATCCTAAGAAAGCAAAATTAAAATAATAAAAAAATACCGAAATAGCTCTCGATCCACGAACGAACACCCGGTCACCACCAGGGACAGCGCCACGACGCCGTTGTGCAATGTCAAGCAGTAAGATACAGCACACGCCAGATCCATGGCGCCGGATAGCACCGCAGTGCTATGGTATAGCGTTGCGGTGCTGCTGCACAAAAGCGCAATGTCATGGTGCTGTCGTCGTAGAACTGCTTCATCTTTTTTGCAATTTTCTGGAAAAATCGCCCAATTTGCTGCCACGAACACCTTTCGATCGACTCAGACTTATAGACTTGATTGCAAAAGATAAATTCCCAAAAACAACGACCTTTACATGATCAAATCAAGTAAAATTGCAATTACGATGCCAAAATTTGAAAACATCCAATTCGCAAAACCCATAAATTCAAATGTAGAAACGCACCATAAAATCCACAACGAAAATGGGGAGGGGGGATGTGATTTGGTCATTTTTAATTAATAAATAATAATTAAATTAAATTAATTACCAATTTACTAATTTAATTAATTATTAATCTAATTCAAAATTAATTAATTAATACATTTAATTAATTATTATTAATTTAATTAATAATTAATTAATCAAATTCAAATATTAATTACATAATTAACAATTAAATATTGATCTTTTAATTAAATATCACATATTTAATTAAAACTATATATATTTGAATCATATTCAAAACCATCTCCGAACATATAGCTTCAATATTAATCCAATTCATATTAATTATATTTGAATCCTATTCAAATAAGTCTCATAATATGTAGTTTAATTTTTGAATCTTTATTCAAAATAAAGTATGTATTTAATGCATCACTATATTCGTTATATACATTCTCTTATTTATATAACTCGAACGTTTCAAATTCTTTCATAAATTATTGATCCTCGTTTTACTCGTTGTGAGCTAGCAAGGGGACATAATGGACCTACAGATCATAAGCTCCAACGATATGAGATTAATTGATTAAACTCATTAACCATATTAATCAACATTCGTTAACTATGGGTCACTCCACTAAAGACCCACGGCTGCACTCTTCTCAATGTAGAATATTTTGTATC